ATATATATATATATATATATATATATATATATATATATATGTGAAAGTAATTTAAAAAAGCAAACAATAGATGCATGAAATTAAAAGAGGTAGTCAGATATTTGTTAAACCTGTATGATAGTAGATCTAGAACATAGAAAGGGTTTTGCATGTTTGTCAGATTAAAGCTTTTTCTGTTGATTATTTTCTGTTTTCTTGGCCAAGAATTTTCCTTTAGTCTTTGATCAGCAACACAAACATGACATGCGTCACTTAGTCTTTAAAACTCTTACTGAGCTGGTGGAACAAACTTAAATCGTCACTTAAGTCTCCTTTTTATTGAACAGTGCTGGATTTTATTCTTTTTTTACTTCTGTTTAATTCTGATTTTTCCAGCTTATATATGTCTACAGTGCAAACAGAGTTTCTAGAGAAATGACGCTGCTAAAAGTCGAGAGAGCAAATCATTAGGACTAGACTTCGGCATCCACTCTCTTTACCATCAATAAGGATAATCTACCTTCTATTTGATAGAGAATTTAAAACAAAAATTAATTTCAGGCAGTATATTCCCCTTTAAAATCAGATATTGTTATTGGCCAGAAAAAGTCTGAACGGTGTATAAGTTGCTAAGATGATATAAATAGAAGCTTGATTTGGATTTAAACATCTATTTGACACATCCTCTATGTGATTTAGTGTGCAAACTGACTGCAAAGACTCCAGTTTCTCAAATAAAAACAAATTTGCTCAGAAACAAGTGTTATTTCCCAAACAAACTGTTTAGAAACACAGACCTGACAGGGCAATTGGGAAAAGGAACACATTGCACACACATTAATTTTATAATTGTAACCATAACAGAAAACCTGTATTTAATAGAAACATATCTATACATTTTACTCTATTAAAACATCAGCTTATGATATTATATTGTTGTCATGTTAAGTGCAAGAGTATTCTTCATGTATGGCAGCTAAAGTGATCAGATCAGTGGGACGGGTGCTTCAGAAACACACTGCTGAGGTGGTTTGGAGACAGGAACCACAACAAGGACAAAACAAACATCTCATACGCGTCTCATGTGTCTCTCTGAGGTTTCTGCGCTTGCCTCTGTACTGCCTTCATGAATGCTTCACACCTGCTTCTGTTCCCTCAGAGCTCATAAATGAAACAGTTCTGTCATTTCCTCTGCACAGCAAAAGCTGCCGATTAGAAGCACCTCTCCTGAAAATATTGGCCCTCTTTTAAGAAAATCTGGATATGAATCTGTTTAAAGATAACGGTGAAACGAGACGAGGCGTTCTCCTCCTCCCCAAGCGGATGTGTTTCTGGTGATTTCGTGAATTGGATGGAAAACACCTGAAAGTGAGGACTCCCTCGTTAGTCACTCACCTAACGAGGGTGTATGTATCACATCGTGTCATTATCCGAAAGAAAGAAAGACCCAGTGTGGGCCACAATCAAGAGACAAGGGGTGATTCACATTTTTCACTCTGCTCATCCTCTGTTTTCTCCCACAAAGGGTTTCCCTCAGTGGTCGATCACTTTTTCTTCTTTTTAGGATTCAGAATAACCATTTGAGGCTGAAGCTTCTACATGCTGTTGAACAGACCACAGGAGGCTCCTGTGGGCCCAGTGGAAAAAGAGTTACACCTCTTATTCTCTTCAACACTTTAGATGTCTCAACAATACATAAAATGTCAGCGGAAAAGAAAATCAGAGACAAGTGACATTCTGCTCAAAGACTGAAAACAGTTTTGAGTTTTGCATAACGAAGGGGAACTTCATTCAAGCTTTTTTAAAACCTCATTCTTGAGAAACAGTAGATGAGGGCAGAAGGGTTTACTGTCTCTCCCACTCATTTCTTCTTCATCTGTGATGTTATTTTTGGTTTGTAGGCTGATCAGTGATCATTTAGTCAGAACTGAAATAAAGGTTTTCTGTTTTTGTGACAGACTGCGCAGTTACACACCAACAGGATTACAGTAAAGGAGACAAATCCAGTCAAAAGACAAACAGGATATGAAATGAATATGCAGGGTTAGAGGATTGCTTGTTGTAATGCAAAACTAAAGCAAGTGCCTTGGTTTTAAAAGTATACAACTTTTTCCTAAATATGTCATATTACAATCACAAATTTTTATTTTGTTTTTTTGTTAGGATTTTATGCAACTACCCAAATAAACAAATATTTTCCAATGTGCGAGAAGAGGTTAAAATGTTTCCCTATTCAGTCATATTAGATAGAGAACATCTGTTAACATCATCATTCAAGTCTTGCCACAGATTCTGGTCTAAACTTTGACAGGGTTACTATAACACCTGAATATGCTTTGATCTCTGTTTGCTGAATCTGAATTTCCTCTATGATTGTCCCGTATATGGCTCCACCCATCTTCCATTTCCTCTGAACAGCTTCCCTTTCCCTGCTTAGCAAATGCATCCCCAGATCATGATGCTGCCACAGCCGTGTTTTAACATAGGTATTGTCCTTTAATGGTGATGTACATC